CTGGCCTTTGTTATAATTGTAGCTAATTCAACTATATACTGCAAAACAGTGATTATGTCAAAGAGAAAAAAACTTCACGTGTTAGGCAAAACAGATGCCAATTCAGGTTTCGGCGACCTCGAATGACAATAAAGCAAGTCTCAAAGTCCATGCCGCAGATAAAAAGTTCAATTTTATTGGCCAGTATTACGGATATTCAAACGCTAACTATAATATATAACCCGATTTCATCGTTCAAAAATATCTCGTCACATCAAATTGCATTACATTCAAATGGACTGGAGAAAACGATTGATAGCAAAGTGACCATATATGACAAACAGAGAACTTAACAGTTTGTGTCAGGAGCAACAATAACATGGGGCTGGTCAAATACTGAAATGAGAGTTTTCTTGAATATATAGATATCCACTACATCCTGTTGGGGAAAAACATTAGAAAAAAAAAGTCCCCTGATTTTAAACCTAAACTTTTGACAAATATGGGGTGGTGGGGGGAGGGAGGAGAGAGAGACACACTTCCAAAACTCGCAAGAAAGGAAAGTGAAATTTAAATAAATTGAACAAAACAAAGAAATTTTCTACTTTGAACAAACTTTTAATATTTTCATTTGAAAAAACAAAAAACAAAAATGAATGAGACACATATATTCCAGGACACACCACCAAAACAAGAATGAAATGTAAGAATATGGGAAAAGATTTCTTAAAACCTAGCCAACAACAAAGATAATTTAAGAGTTGATAAATTAATAATAATAATATATGTGAATAACTTGTCATAAGAGCAAAAAATATAAACTACATTTAATAATTTATTGTCTTCATAAGAGCTGCCTCTAAACCATGAAACACTGTCGTCTTTTTGAGAGTGTTCAATCTCAGTGAATATCCTTTCACCATTACAAGACAAAATGACTGAATTTTGCTGGCAGACAACTCAGAAAATCTGAGCAGAGTTCAATTACTAAAGTGCTGAGCTTCTGAATCATCACAGCATAAAAAACTATGCACAACAAAAATGAACTAAGACTTGTAAGGTAAAACCATTAAAATACATAAGACAGTCAACTTATTATACCCACAATAAATATCACAAATACTTGAACTGGAGTACTTTTCATCCATTCAAATCCAGCGAGGACTTGACAAAAGAAATGTCCTCAACATAAGACTAATGACCACGTCAAGAGTTTTTCAAAACAAACACACTTATAGTTATAGTGCCACAATACATCAATTTCAGTTGCATAAATGTACATCATGTAGGAAACTTTACAAGCTGCAGCTTTTAGGTTTGGTTTAATCCAGTACCCACTTATTCCAATTCTGCTGGGTACTTTGTTACACTGCAGAATGGTGGCAAGTATTCTGGACACCATATTTCTCTAAAAATTGATATAGCCAAAACTTGATTTCATCTCTCACAAATATTTTGTCACATCAAATTGCATTACATTCAAATGGACTTGACAAAATGATTGATCACGGAATGACCATATGACAAACAGAACAGATTTGTTTGTGCTAGGTCATGTGGCCTGCACAAGTACAACACTGACATGGGGCTGGTTCCCCTCTGTCAATGACTGAAATGTTCAATAGAGACATAGTAAAACATCTGTGAGGACTTGCATCACTGTAACCCTAACTTGCTCCTAATTGAAAGCTGTGGAGTGATTTGTGCCTTATATTGTGAGCTTGGTGGCTGTGGCCAGTGACCTACATTCTGCACTCAGTAGGGGTCTAAGTTTGTCATTCTTTAACTTTCCAGTAAACCTGGCTCAAGCAAATCCAAAGTTTATTTGAACAAAATTAAATGTGCAAAGGTCAGCATGATTTCCAAGCCTGACCGGACTAGTTGAAGAAGGATTTACTGGAGAGAGAGAGAGAGAGAGAGAGAGAGAGAGAGAGAGAGAGAGAGAGAGAGAGAGAGGGAGGGAGAGAGAGATAGAGAGAGAGAGAGAGAGGGAGAGGGAGGGAGGGAGGGAGGGAGGGAGGGAGAGAGGGAGGGAGGGAGAGAGAGAGAGAGAGAGAGAGAGAGAGAGAGAGAGAGAGAGAGAGAGAGAGAGAGAGAGAGAGAGAGAGAGAGAGAGAGAGAGAGAGAGAGAGAGAGAAAACGAGGCAAATCTTTTGGATAATTTATTTCATTTAATTCAAGCAAGCATGTGCGATTTTTAAAAATTGTGATTAGCAATGCGTTTTGAAACTAGAAATACCAGTGTCATTAATAGCTGAGAGCCTTTACACCAAAGGCAAAAAAAACCTTATTGATCAAAAAATTGTTTTCCAGCCACAACAGCACTGCTATTGGTGTGGAAAGTCTTCTTTTTCACATTGATGTTTAAAACATTTGAACTTAACATGAGTACAGAAAATATTTAAGTTGCAAAACTTGCACATAGGAACATTAGATACACGTATTGCTTAACAACAAATCACTAGAAACTTTACATTGCTTAAAAAACACAATTTGTGTTTCACCTTTCAGTTAACATCACAAATACAAAGACGTAAAATATCAAATTTTCAGTTGCAGAATACTTTTTTCCCCATAAGAACACACTTGCTTCCTGCACAATCAAGATAGAAAAAACAACAACATAGACATCACCATCTCAGTTTGAAACACACATACATACATATATATATATATATACAAGTAAAATATATTTGATCACTTCAAATTGGCACCCCTCACCCCACACCCCTGAACCAATAGAACTGAAGGTCAAAATTTGAAAATGAATAGGTACATTAAAAAATTGACCCGAATAACAAAGGACGAATGATAAAACTGTTTTACATTTCTCTATTACAAATACCAACCTCAGTTACATACCTGTTTGGACAACAGGACTTGCCCCAATGACTTTTACAGTAGAAACATCCAGTTTGAGCGGTTAGAATAATGGTCTCAATGATTTTAGAAAAAAAACAAAAAAACTTTGTTACCAATGCTGAGGTGACAAAAGGCATGGCTTTCAACTGGCTTCAACAAAAAATAATGTTAACAGCTCCATCATGATGCACATGCTAAGCAAAACTTTACAAAATTAATTTTACAACAAAACAGAAGGGTAACCTTACTTACAAAATCAGACCTCTCACAAGTCCCTCTGACATGTAAGACCAAGCTGCCTTCCTGCCTTTCAAAGTTAGAACAGCCATCATACCCATACACTGAACATATTGAACAGAGAGATTACGGGGAAGTTACTTTGCAAGAGATGGGAAATAAACAAATGCCAAATTTATAATTTTAAGTCACTGAGTTCAAGAGCTTAGTTATACTAGAGTATTTTTTGTATCTCTTACAGTTAAAATACATTTACAAAGAGTAATGACACATAAAAAAACTAACTGTTAAACAAATATACAGTAAAATGAAAATCGAGAAAATTTGGGAAATTACCTGTACCAATGTGCACCTGATAAGCTTATAAGAGTTTGAAATACAAGAATCTGTAAAGAAGTATTCTCTATTTCTCCACTTTCTGATAGAAAAGAAGTTTCCTTTACTTTTATGAAAAACACATACATAGGTCAAACTTTATACGACAATGAATTAACAAAGTACCCTTTGCGTAAAGTCTCAGACAGGGAACCAGAAACTCAGTATGAGTATGAGACAGCAACATAACCCACTTTTCCTTGAACTGAAATACAACAATTGGAGTGTTACTAGCAACAGATCTGCCCCTTGCAACACTATGGGTGGTACTCTCCTAACAAATTGTTAGTTTCATCATTTGCATCACGAGAACACAATGTAAACCCATTACAGGCTCTACTTAACCATTTACTAAAAACCATTGAAAAGCAGTAAAAGTCAGTTGAATTGGAAAAATTTGCCATTACAGACTCACAAACAAAAAATTATACAAATTCAATAATGAACCTCACACGAGAATAATATGTGCAACGACACGGTGGAATCAGGAACTTGTCAAAATAATAGAACCGAAAAAACCTGCGTATTTCAGCCCATTGGGAAATCTTTATCGAGTTTTATAAATTTTGGCATTTAAAAACACATTTCTGTGTGGATTTGACTGAAAAGAGCACAAAAGATACAAATTTGCAGTTTTCATGGACTCTCAAGCTGTTGGAGAAATAAAACTTTGGAAGCCATTTCCTTGCTAATCTCAACTCTGACAGTGACACCGGACGACCCCTACCTCCTTCAATCGCAAATATCTCAACATCTATCCAAGATAAAAAAATTTTCATCAAAAGCAAGGCAAACCAACAGGCTTTGAGATGGCATCAATAACTTCATATACCCCCAAAATTTCCCAGAACCTGATCCCACCACGTTGTGGCACATATTTCAAACACAATTCTTGTTAATTCTTTCCTGAAAAAGGTCATTCCACTGTTTCAGGACCCAGAAGTCAAAAGTAAAATGATCTACAAATAACATTACAATCTCATTCATAAATTTATTATGACTTAGCTTCAGCTGTTGTCTTCAGTCACAATTGAAATAAGACTCAAATGCAACCTCTTTAGGAATTAACGGAAAAAGCCCTTCAACGTCACCAAACCTTTGAACACTTGCGCCTCAACACATTGCAACAATAAAATCCGGTAACGGAATTCAACACAAACAGGTGACTCCTTACAGCATAAGCTAATAAGCAATAAAAAGACAATGTCAAAACATGATCATCAAGTTTAAAACCATGGAAGGAAACATGTCCACTATCGTTGGTGTAACTCAGTCTGGAATTCAGCAGGGCATTCACAAATACAGGCAGAAGTGAAGAAAAGGCATTTTGAACAAAGACAGCAAAGGACAGGTTGTAATCCTTCCTTAGTTTTCGTCAGTTGCAAACAAAGATTCAAACAAAAAGGCCTACAGTGCATTATGCACACAGGATTTCATTGACCAGCTGGTGAAATATACTAAGCCCCAAATTTTGAAAATTAAAAAAAATTGCTGTTGTGGTATCAGTTGCATGTACTCACAAAATATTTTTTGCAAAAACTCAAAATTCAAAAGGTTGAAAAAAAAAATTTAAAAATCATGAAAAGACATAATGTACGTACAATTGTTAAAAGAATGAAAAAGGTTTTGCTCTTTCCTGAAAAAAGTTGCTTTCTGGTCTTAGTACATTTGAACAGCTTGCCTGTGATTTGGCACTGAGGCATCCTTTAAAGTAAACATCTCAATGATCAACTATGCACAAACACTGGGCTGCATTCAGACGTCTCAAGCTTGGCTGTTTGTGTCTTGGCTCTCACCCGAGGCTGAAGGCACAATTTGGCTCTCAGAACCAGCCACCTGATCAGAACCCATCACAATGTCTGACGCTTTTTGCACATCAAGACATTGTTCCTCTGCATTCAACTTCAATTGTTTACAGTTTGGTTCAACAACAGCAGTTACTGTAGTATGGTCTTCTGACAACTTGCGCTTCAGTGCTGGTTTCTTATCTTCTTGTATCACATCTGCAATGTCAGCAGACTGGCTGTCAGAAGTTTTGCTATCACCAACAAAATCAGAACCACCCGTTTCGGTAACAGAGCTGGTGTCCACACCGGAAGTAGGTAATAATGGATTTTGCTGTGAATAGTTTCGTTCAGAACTGTCAGTTTGTTCTTTTCCTTCACAACTCTTCTCAGTTACTATATCACTAGAATCCTTATCTTTATTTTGACGACTTGTACTACCGCCTCCAGAACCATTCTGCTTGACCTCTTCTTCAAAATTTTCCTTTCCACTCATCTCTGACCTCTCCACTTTCATTTCAGATCTCGTAATGGGTGAAGGCTGCCGTGTAACAACAGCAGGTCTAAAATCAGCATTCGCTGATGTGACTCCAGGCAAAGTACTTCTCTCTTCCCTCTTTTTGTTATCGATATCTCTTTCTTTTTTGTCCACCTCGAATTTCTTGGAGCTAGACTTGTGCTCCGACTTGGACTTTTGTGAATCAGAAAGCCACATCGATTTGGTAGAAGGAGACGACGTACTGGAAGAAGATTTGAGCTTACTGTGGTGAGGTTTGCTTTCTACTCTCTTGTCTCTATGAGATTCTACAGACATTTTGTCCTTCTCTCGTGCTTTGTCCCGGCTACTGCTTTGCTTGTCTACTGAGCTACGACTGTTGCTTTCATGACCTTTCTTGTGATGTGCCTCCCCCCGATCACTTCTCTTTTGCTTGTCTGACGACTTCTGGTCTGACATTCCTTTGGACAAACCACTGGATGATGATTTGTGTTTAGATTTGTCTGGTGAATGTCTCGGTTTTGAATTTTCCTGCAGGGCAGATGCAGTTTTGGATGACGAACCACTTGACCCGACAGCAACAGCACAACTGCTTGACTTACTCCCACCTTTAGCCAGGTCCTTTATGAGCATGTCAGTCATCTTTGTCTTATCATTATTTGTCCTGACCCCATTATTCTCCACCTTCTCACCATGGCACGACCGGCTCTTCTTCTGCCTGTCTCGCTCCGACTTGCTACTGTCTGTGCTGTGGCTGGGGCGGTGATGACCACTGTGGTGGTGAGACGACTCACTCTTCTCCACTTTACTGGGATCTGACTTGGACCTGCTACTACTTTCTCCACCACTCTTCATTTTCTTCAGCGAATCACTGTGATGGTGGTGATTTTTCCCTTTGACCATATCACTGGAAGACAAAACTTTTTTCTTCAACTCATTCTTGGAACTCTCCTTGCTCTTAGAGATCACAATCTTTTCTTTCTCTTTCGGTGTCTCCAGAGATGACTGAGATGATGAAGTCTTCGATGACATGCCAGCAGACCCTGACACTTGTTGGCCACACAAAGACACAGACGATTTCTCAGACCCATTCGTCTTCTCTTTGTCCATCTTTGTAACTTTCTCCTTGTTGCCGCCCAAAGACAGTCCTTTGAAAAGAGCCTTTTCCTTTATCTTATCTCTATCTTTCACGGGAGTCCCACCATGACTCTCCCCGGTTCTGCCGATTCCTTTTTCCGACTTCCCTCTACCTTTATCCACATCCCCTTTCTCTTTCCCTTCTTTACTGCTGTTGCTTTTTATCCTGTTCTTGTCCTCTGAATAAACTTTGTCTTTGCTTCTCTCAGCCATGCTGACAGCAGGTTCGGCGACGACTGGTTTCTTGGGAGACGGTAGAGGTAGGACAACAGGTAGCTCCTCTGGCTTCACTTCTTCAACTCTCTTGTCGCTGTCACACTCTGGAAGGTTCTCCACCTTGATGGGAACACTCACCATTGGAGGTGTCACCTCCACACTTGTGCTGTCCATGCTCTCAGCCTTTCTCTCCTCTTCCAACAGATGCTTGTAATAGATCTTTAATCTGAAATAAGCAAAAAATATTCTACACATACATCTTATTCAGTGTCATAATTTTTAAAAAAAGCTCATTTTGATCGTGACTATGAAGAATTGCGAACAAAAGCAATGGCGGTAATTTGAGAGCAAGGCCTGAGCCGTAGCATATTAAAATCATGAAACCTGGTCATTTCCACGCTAAAGGTACTCGAAATCATTAGGAATATGTAGTTACAAGAAAAATAAGGAATTCCATTTGATCCTGCTTTACAAAGTTAGTAACCCCCCCCCCCCCAATAAAACCAGGAGATACTTGAATCTCTCCCAACAGCAACTCCCATTAAAACTTCTTCCCTCTTCCCCTGTAAACACATCTATGGCATAAAGTGTAGGCCCTTCACCCTGATCACGAAGACATGCATATCGTTCCCCCTTGCAGAAGATATATTTACTGAGTACCCCTGTCATTTTTACACAAATTTATCCCGACACAGCCTAAGTTTCCTCAATAAGCATGGAGCAGCCCACCTCCTCATTGATCTTAAGTTGTGTAGAGGGGAGTGTTCAATACAGTCAAACCTGTCTTAACACAAACCTGTGTAAGATGGAAACCTGTCATAACGGAATCTCCCCCCCCCCCCCCCCCCAATAAATTCCTCTAAAACATACGGAAACCTGTGTAATGCGGAAAGAAAAATCCTTCCCATCGCAGGGTTTTGACCTGTCTGAGATGGAAAGTGCTTTGCCCACTCAGCCCAGATTTGAAACAAAACTGTCAAGTTTGGCTCTTTATGCCATGCCACCAGGAAAGGAATGGGCATAGGGGTGCAATTTGGAGGTAGACGTTACTCCATCTAAGCGAGTTCTTAGCAGTGCAGATAGTCTGGGTGGTGTGGGTATGAAATCTCACCATTGCCTATGAAGGTGCTCACGAGTAGCCAGACGCTAGAGGTGTGAAATTTTAGTTTGACCAATGCCTGTTGCCCTGATTGTAAGGCCAGCAGAGTAAAGAGTTCCTTAAATCATTGTTACATGCACTGGAGGGGTGGCATTGTTGACTGTGCATGTTACACCAATGGGTGGGGCTAAGGGTGGAAAGGAAGGAGATGTTCAAATGTTTCTGTTTTTGATAGGTCAAACAGTGGCGCAATGGATAAGTAGGACTGACGCATGTCATTATCAGAGAGGATAGAGGTGTGAAGTTTTGACCAATGTTTGTTGACCCTTGATCCTGCTGACTGGGCTTCAACCTCCGTCTATCTCTCCCTAAATTTCCCAGCCTACAATGGAAAATGTCAAGATGGAATTTTTTTCTGGCTTCCTTGCGATTCTGTCTTACACAGGTTGTCTGTACAGCCGAACCTGCTCTAAAGACCACATGTCCAGGAAAGACAATCACCTGCACAAATGACCACTCCCCATCCCTGAGTCTAGTTATATTTCATAACGTAGCAATGCCAATCGAGCTTGCATACGCTGAGAAATTTTGGTCCCTGTCTGTGGGTGTGTTTTTGGACCGGATCAGAACATGGGTGACTTTCTCAAACTCGGTTGGCTCTATTTCTGGACCAATATGAATGAAACTGGGCAACCAATCAGAAAATTAGGCAAACTAATGATAATATGTGGACATTGAAGTTTGCACAAATAAATTAAGCTATATTTTTGGAGTCTGAAACACTTTCGTATTGGGTATCCTTACATTATAAGGAGCCTAATTTTCAACATCAGGAAGGTAAGGATCAATCTTTCCACTTGTGTCCTCAAATCTGAAAGTTGTATGTCAAGTAGTTGTTTAGAATTTATCATAAATGTACCAGGAACCCCCTGTTCAAAGCAGCGTCACACAGAGACCGGCCATTTTCCTCGCACTCCCTCGGCAAACGTATGTGACCTACAAATCCCAGCATGATTTTTCCGAGCCCGTTCATTGGTCACTTGAAATAGGGCAATCCTGTTGTTTTTCTCTCTCTTCCCCTGTAACGTCGTAATGGGGGTGTTCGCGTCTCAACGGACAAAAAAAGCACTTTTTAATTGAGCGGCATCTTTAGACTGAATTGAATTACATTTTATGGTTGGCATGGTCTAAATTCATCAAAGAAAGTTTTGCCATTATTTAGTCACACTGCCAACATATTCTTAAAAATCCCATGATGTGATGCTAAATAACATGCTCTTATCCCGACATCCCCCTTTCTCAAAATCGTAATATTCACACAAAAATTTTTAATTATAACAAAATAACTACCAAATGGGAAATAAATCTGACTACAAAAATGATTTCTCCACCCAAAAACACACTGACTAGCCAAGTTTCTTTCAAACACTCCGATTAATTACTGAGATGTCGTCGGTTTTCTAACACAATCTGTTGTTCCGTGGCCCACTTTTTGAGAGTATTTTCCTTTGTGTTGGTCACCCATGTTTTGCTGCACTTCACAACCCCATAACTTAAAAAAATTTATAAACTGATTCTTTCAATTAAAAAGGCATAATGCTTAGAATAGAGAACCCTTTCTCAGGTACCAAATGAAAAAGCACTAAAGCGAAAACATTTTTCATTGGCATTGCTACATAAGGACACTGTCAAAGAGGACAACTTTTCTCCTTGACAATGGGTGGTCGTTTTGGACAGGGTCAACTGTATTTAACTAAAAAACAAGACTCTGCTCCCGACGTTGGTCAAGATAGTGGGGATTGGCTGAGTACCCCCCTCCAAACCCTTTACACATTTTTTTTTGCATCCAATAAATTCCCGCTATTCAAAGCACACCTGCAGCAAAAGATCTCTCCAATTGACTTATGGGATTCGTTCTCATTATCATTTAAAAATCTGGCTTTATATGCTCATAATTTTTTTTCAGCATGAGCAAGTCTACAAGGAGCATTTCTATAAAACAGAAAATGCATATTTTTCAATACAAGAATGGACCTCTGAATTCAGACCATCAACAACATATCAGATTGGTTTATTTACATACTGATTAGCAGCTATGCAATTGATCTCATCTAGGTGGCAAGTGTAGGAAAACTGTATGAGCCTACCTGACATGCCAGGCGATGCTGGTCACTGCAGACACTGAGCGGAACTGGTGGATGACATTGCGTGGTATGAAGTAGATGTCGTTGTCTCGCAGCGTGATGCGGGCGTACCGGATGCCGTCACGCCTTAGCTGATTCAGCTTGGCCTCCTCTACCCATGTGACACACTAAATGGTGATAGGTAGGTAGAAAGGTAGGTGTTTTATTCAATGTTTCAGGTAACTGGCCCACATCACATAAAACATGCACATTTTACAGAAGAGACTTCTGTTAAAACAGCATAAATTATAAATGACATACATATATCAATAACATTTAAAAATCTATATATACCTTTTCTCAATGGTTAAATATTGTACTCTTTAATCACTGGGTTGGTTAGCAAGGGGGAATGAACAATTTCCTTTGATAAGCAAAGCTTGAATATTTAAAAAAAAAGAAGTGAAATTAATATTCAGATTCATCTGTTACATATATCACATATAAGTGAAACTGAATGGTGATAAAAGAAATTGAAAGATAACTTTGAGCTCAACTCTTCAACCACAAACACATAGCAAGCATTTCATTTTATTCAAATTTTTTGTTTGTTTTTAGTACTAATAAAAAACGCATTCTCTCTCTTTTTTTTTTGGCAAGTGTTTTATGGCGCTCACAACTGCGTAAGGTCATATGAGTGCACAGGGCACATTAAACATTTTCAGTTTGGTAGGAATTAACATTGAATTTTGCCCGGGAGACAGGCGACGGCTGAAGCCTACTCTTATCGATTTTACAACCATCAAAGGATCTTTAGCATGTGCAACTTGTACATGTGACCCCCAAGACTTTTCACCTTTATCCGAGAAGGCTAGTTTGATCTTACATTCCCTAAGATCAGAGGTGTGGCTGAAAGACAGCAGTAAGAAGTAGGCAAGGAGTGGCAGCAGAAAGGCTACAGAAAGAGTAGCCCAGAGAAGGAGGCAGAAAGTGGAATCGAAAGCAGGCGACAGGTTATGGTTAGAGAGGTTGGCGGGTGCTTTGGTGTGGTTTGCTCCTTCTTTCCTATCTCTCCTCCTTCTTTTTTGTGTTTGTTACTCTCTTGTAAAACCTCTAATCTTTGGTACTTATATGACCTTATTGTGTTGCAAGTGCCGTAAAACACTTACTAAAAAGAGAGCAGGAAATGAGAAAATTTTAGAGAAGAAAATTTTCCGTCTGTCAGGTTTCGAGCCTGGGATCTATCAAATGAGAGGCAAACACCATACCTCCAGACCACGTGAGCCCCCTGCCCATTCTCTAAATGGGGAAAGTAACAGCTCTAATCCCACACAAACATTGACAAACATACACTTAAGAACTGTGCAATCCGGTTGAACTGACACCATAAATAACGAAAAATCTATGGGAAATACAATAGTGTCTGCCTAAACGCACGCTGCTTGGGAGGGGTTCTTAGCCTGTGTTTATACGGAGCGTGCGTTTACATGAGAAAGACAGACTCAATGTAATGATATGCACCATAAAATGTCGGGAACAGATAGCCTAACAGGAAACTGTTCGTGATAGTCATAGAGACGACGGCCCAGCCACGAGGCTTTCCAAGCGACCATCCATGACTGTAAATTCATGGACGACATCAGAATCATGGTCATAGATATCTACCTTAAGAGAAACATTTCTCTTGTGATTCGTTGAACAATTATGTTATAAGTTCTTCGAGTGCAGCTGACTAGGCTTACTTAACTAATCTTTAATCCTATAGAGGCCTATCTAGTGTTTAACAGCATCCACGCGTGTTGCGCATCATAGGCCTAGGTCTAACTATACATTACATGCAGTCACCCAAACACTAGTCAGAAACCTTCTCTGAAAGATGAATTTCCAGTGACCAATCAAAAAACATTTCAGTCCCCCAAGCCCACAACATTTCACTGATCAGTCCTAGACCTACGTGTCTGTGGAAAGTTGGGTGTGAAAACGTTGAGGGGCATTCTAACCAAACATCCGGTTTTCTAGGTTTGTCTTATGCAACTTGTGCAGGTTGTAGTGAAATTTTCCCCTCGTCAAGCTTAACCTGTCGGCGTGTTTTGTGGATCGGAATGTGTATTTACAGGGAGTGACCGTGCGTTTGTACGTCTAAAAATTAGACAAATTAATTCACAAAATAAGTGAAAAGCAACAGGTCATAAACATAATAAGATTATACTAAAAGTAATCATGATGAGAAAAGGAGCCATTCCCCCTATAAGCTGAACCTCCTCCATTTTAAAAGCTTCATTAAGGGTCATGGTAGTAAGAGGCTGAGAAAAAAGACGCATGGGCAGCACTTACTTGAGAGACTGGCGGCTCATGTAAATCCAACTGGAGCTTAGAGGTGAGAGCGGCGAAGTCACCAGGGTGGAAACAGATCACATCCTTCACTATACGGCCTTCAGGCGGGTTGTACTCTTCCCTGCACAGAACAGAGGTTTTAAAAGTTTTAATGAAAGATTTATGGCACTTTCAACACAGATAGGTTATATAAGTGTAGAAGATTAGAGGTGTTATGAGAGAGTAACATACAAAGAAAAGGAGGAGAGGTAAGGATGACAGATGTTTGATGGGTAAGAAAGAGCAAACCATGCCAGAGCACCCGCCAACCACCCACGAGAAAAGAAGGAGGAGAGATAAGGATGATAGATGTTTGATGGGAAAGAAAGAGAAAACCAAACCACAGCACCCGCCAACAAGCCACGAAGAGAAAAGAAAACCAAAAAAAAATGAAACAGTCAAAGGACATGTTCACAGCTTAACTTGGGAGACAGGTTGTTATTGACAACATGCCAACACTCAACACTCCAACAACCATTTTCTCATCACGGGAACAGCAGCATCCTCTATGTCCTTTATAAGTATTATAACCCCAGCAGACCCTAGAACACCCAGAAACATTCTCAGCTTCCCGGTAAGCATACAGTTGAAGCTGTGGATGTCACGCACTCAAACACCTAAGCATACATACAGCCTGGCATACCCAAAACAAATTGAAATATATATATTTTTTTTAAATATGGCATTCTTGTTCAACTACATATATATACAGTTGGGCATGGACTACTCAAACATGTCAGGGATTGACAAATGTGTTCAGCAACATCCATAATTTGGAAAAACTGATACAATGAAATATTAAAGAGATATTGAAAGAAATCAAGGAAAGTAACTGTGACAGTACAGTAATGATGGTCAGAAAATAAATCACTGGAATAAATTAATTGTATCAGATTCACTGCATACAATATTTTGAGCCACACCATGTCTCATTATGAACTTGTCCAACCCTCCTGTGTTGCATGTTAGGTCAAGGCCAAGTCATTAGGATGGGACCAGAGATAGGAAGAGACATGACATATGCTTGCTGTAGCCATTGAAACAATGTCAGTCAAATTTGGCAAAGTGCTCTTGCTCTCTCTCTTGGCTGAAATCCAATGATGGAGTTTGACATTTTATCTTGACTTTTTAGAAATATGTGTCACAATGTGGTGGAATCAGGTGCTCGTCAATTTTTGGACATATGAGTTATTGGCATCATCGTAAAGCCTGTTCCTTCCTTTTGGTGAAAAAAATATACATCTATATTGAATAGAAGTCGAAATATTTGTGATATTGAAGGAGGTCGGGGTTGCCTGGTTTCAGAGGTAAAATTAGCGAGAAAAAGGTCGCTAAAGTTTGGTAACTTCTATTGCCTGAAAGTCTTTGGAAACTAAAAATTTACATTTGTTGTGCCTTTAACTTATTCTGTCCATTCGGTAGCTCACAGCGGCTCTGGGTTTTCCCACTGTTGCCATTCGATCGCTGTGAGCGGCCCGATGAAATCCAAGACGAAATCCGAAATGAATGTGCACTTTTTAACATAGTTCCTACTTTTCAAGTTGTTGAAATTAAATAGAACTTGTAAACAAGCCTGACCTCAATCTCTGAGCGCCAAAATCAATCGAAACTCCTCAAAATTCTTGCAAAAATCACAATTTTGTTGTCGCTATGCAGTTGCTACGTAAGGGTAAACAATATGAAGCCTGGTATAATCAAAAGGCCCTTCGGTGAAAAATATTCAACTAAATTGGTGAAATTCTTGCAAAAGTGTGAACTTGGGTGATATCTCTACAATTTTGTGTTGATTCCTATGGATTATACGGACTTGTAGAGCCGAGAAAATGAGGTACGTTGAAATTTTCGAAGATGTGTAGTGCAATTTTTTTTTCTCATTCATTTTTGTCTGAGGGAATACACAATACAATCAGAATATAGGTCATTGTAATTGATATAATCAGATTCCTTTACTGATTCCCATCAGTTTGGTATACGACAATAGATAAGTAGAGTAACTTAGAGCCTCACAGTAATGCAATAAACTATCCCCCTTGGATTATGCGATTGTGCGGCCGCCGTAATTCTGTAACATTTGCATAATTTTGGATTCCCCGCGGTTTTCCCCATTTCCCCCCAAACAATTATTTAACACCTCGCCAGGTGACTACAGGGAAGCAATCCCTGTAATAAGTCTCATTTAAGGGACAAGTTGGTTATTTTCCTTGTAAGGAGATCTTGGTTAATGGTTTTAATGGTTTATGGGTTAGGGATTTTGTTCCTAGAGCATGTTCAATTTGTCAATCCATCAAAAGTTGCTCTCATGTTTGCAGGTGTATTTAAAAAAACCCAAACATTTTTCTATCCTCTATAGATTTCCAGCTGAAAGTTAGAGAGATTATATGGGCAATTCTCCTGAAAGCTTGAACTTTCCGTAACACGGGTATCAAATTTTAGAATTCAACCAAATAACTAGAAAATGTACTCAGTACACCTTTGACATGTCTAGTGTTGATCCCTTTACTGCTGAAGCTAAAGTTTGTTTGGTTTCTTTGAAAACGGAAGTGAAGTTTAGACTAGTGTGCTATGGTCTTAAACGTTACAGGACACAACAACACCGGTCAAAACATGAAATGTAACAGAGGGAAAGAAAAATTGATTGGGGTAGCACTATGTCCTTTAAATTCATTGTTTGTTCACACAAATTTCAAAACATTTCTTAAAGAAGAAAATGCTTATCAAACAATCATAATGTCTTTAACGTTGCCGGCAAAAATTATTTTTCTAATAGAAAACTAGACTTTTATTTACAAAAATACTAATACAAGTAGAACTTTAAAAAAGTATTGCTATAAAACGGTTAATTCAAGGTTGTAGTTTCAGCAAATATGAACAAAATCGATTGGCGTTTTCGGCTGCAACAATAGCTAAATATAGTAGTATTAAACGTTACAGGACAAAAAGATAAAAAGGAGTGTGCAGAAAAAGAACGATTTGTTTGTTTAAAATAATATGCACACCTACTGAGAACTAAAACATTTTTTATAATACTTCTTTGATGTTATCTGTCATGTTTTAGAATAAAACGACATCAGCTTATTGACTCATTGAGCATGTTATTGAGACTTAACATTTTCGGGACAAAAATCGTGTAGCAGTTACAAAGTGAAACATGAAATCCAAACTGAACTAAAATTTATTTTCCCAATAGTGAAAGTAGCAGCAGCAGCAGTAGCAAAAACAGCAGCAGCAGCAGCAGTAGTAGTAGTAGTAGTAGTAGCAGCGGCAGCAGTAGCAGAACAGAATATCAAAAAAGGTATTCACATCTCCTTCATAATCGCTACTAACATTGTCAAAATACATCGTTAATCGTGGCAGCAAACAGTGTTCTATCTTTCTGTGATTTCTTGTGACATTATGATGATGTTAACTTCCCAAAACGTTTCCACGGCATGGTGATCATACTGAAAATCATTTGGGACCACAACGATTTTTTGTGAGTTATGTAGCATCCCATTTGGCACACTGTTGATGAATAGTTCCTTGTCTGTAGCTCGAACAGGAGGGTTGAAGCAAATTCATCACAGTTTGGACCTCTACTTCCCTAACCGCTCTTTATGATTTCAAGAACACGCAACATTGCCATTGAGCATGAAACAAGTGTATGGAATGTTTACTAGTTACTTTTTAAAGTCCAACTGCACTCAGCAAGGATGAGGAATTTCAATATGTCTTTTTGCCGCTGTGTTGAGAAAGAGTTTTCTGACGTACTTCTTCCAAAGTTTGCTTTCGAGCAGCTTTGACTTTTGGAAAGACTTTCATAACTCTGAGGACAGCTTGTTTGCAGGATGTGGGTGTCTGTATGACACTTCCTCGAATATATTGAACCTTTTTTCTTCTTCACTGTGTCTTCACCTTTTTCCTTTTTTGATTGGAACCTTTCTCTAGCCTAAGCATTGTCTGCCCTTTCCTTCTGCCCTGACCAGGATGCTGTTACCACTCTTGCGTAGCTTTTCCATTTCTTTCTTTAGTATTACTAGTCCAGCAAACTTACGAGTTGCAACTTTGCTAGCGGTAGTGGTAGCCAATGTGAGGTTTTCCTTCTTGATTTTCCTACATTTCTTGACTTGTTCGTCTGTCTTTGAGTTTTCTTTAATCGGTCCTGGGATTCCTTAGTTGGCTCAGTCTTAAACTATATTGTAATAAACGTTGAGTATTTCTTTTTGGAATTTCGGTACTTGAAAGCAATGCATTCAGAGATCTCTGGCGCAGAGCACGCATCTATAGTACTGTAAAGTTGGAAAGAGAATGTGGGAGCGGGAGGGGTAAATGAAAAATTTTATAAATCAGTTTTGTAACTGAATTAAAAGAGATTAACACGTGCTATACTTGGTCGAAAATAAGATTATGCTTCATTATTTTTTAAATATAATTTATTAAAATAATTCGCAACAGAAAAAGTAGTCACAAATTCTGTTTTAGAATGTATATGAATAAAGTGAATATAAACCGATGTTATTCGTTACTTATGTGGTCTTGCTAGTCTTAACTTAGTCCAAGACGATAAAATCAGCTACTATGCCCTAAATATTATTGGGGCAACCCTTGTTACCAAAACTTTGGTCAAAATGATTTAGTCCGTGTAACCATTAAGACCATTGTAAAAACTTATTTTCCTCTTGTTAAAGCCAATATCAACTTTTGGTGAAAACTAAGGGTAAAGCTACACTTTGGACAAAGCGAAGCAGCACGGTCGGGGCAATCAAAATAAAACCAAAGGGAAAGACGGACGTTACCAGCCGTACCAAGAACGGCCCGAAACGAGGAGATGCCAGGAGAAATTCCGGCCAATGTACAATCGCTTTTATTCCTTGAATGTACATGTGTGCACACAAGCATATTATTGACAGCATTCTTGATGTAGATCTACAAAATTTCAGTGATGATAACAAGAAGGAAAAAGAGGAGAGTTAGTGAAACCTGTTTGTCAAAACAAAATAAAAAATAAAAGCAAAGCACACAATGCATTTACTTTTATTCAAAGCAAGACATTATAGAATTGGCCTCTTTTCAATTAATTTGTAGACCAAGATCTACCTATCCGGC